CTTTTTTGCTATTTCATTTGTATGAATGTATTAAAATACCATCTACTCAATCAAACTAACAGATAACATTTAATTTATAACACATAAGCCTATAAAAAATTATCTCTGATAAGCGTGTTTTACAAAATTGAAAACAGGTAAACAAATAAATCGATTTAATGAACAAAAAAGGAAGGTAACCATTTTCAAAAACATTCTTAGCATTACTGACAAACAGTAATTACAAACAGTTAGACAAAGCAAAATCTCAAATAAAAAAATGTTAAAGAACATGGGATGATCGAGAAGCCAGAATTCAAGGGGATCGCTTATTACATTCTCTACAAATAGTTTTTTTTTTAGTTGAGTTGGATGATTAAATAAATCAGAGATTGTCAAACAAGTTTGTTTGATTTTATTCAAACATAATAGCAATTTGCTCACAAAACAAACAGTTAAAATTGTAACCCAAACAACTAAATGTGCAATATTTTACATTTTACTATTTAGTCTAAATATTTTCTAATTGCAGTGTATTCCTCCTTTTCGATTTTATGCCAATAAAGATCAGGAAACTCGAACCGCCTTTTAATCCAGAATATGCCAAGTTGTACACAAAAACTCTTACTTTAGCATGCTGTCTGATGCAAGCTTCAAAAGTTATTCTTTCATCACCATGTCAAAATTAGTTAATTATATGGAGTTATCCATAAAGGAAAGAAACATAACAATAGGTATGATATGTTTATTAGGTATTTAGTACAATAAAATTGGATGGGCCTGAGGATCCCGAGAAAATTTTGAAATCGTTTTAAGGTCTCGGTACTTATCAATAAGTGAAGCTAAAATAAATATAAAATTAGAAATACAGTAGCACACAAAGTTTGGACTTCAAAATAGTTATGCCAAATGACTAGTTGGTTACGCATCTTCCGTCTTTCATAGATATCTATCAGATGGAGACACTGGTGAGATTTTTATGGAAAACTCCATAACAGAAGTAGATAACAAGATGACAAACGTCTTCGGTGCATTATGGATTGTACCAGGTTGTCAAAGACGTTCATATAAAGATGTTTGTATTAGTTTTCATTACTTTCTTGACCGCTTTGTTAACATTTTTTTATTATTTTGTAATTCTTTAAAGTCCTGCAACTGGAATCAAATACATGTATATGGTTATTTGTTGTTGTTATGGTATACGTTTGCACTTTTCCTCGAAGCTCACTTTACACGCACATCCCATTGTAACTATACATATTACCTATATAAGCAATTTTTCTTTGGTCTGGTGAAGATTTGCAATTAGGTAAACCTGATGTCCGCATGCAGTATGATGTAATGTTCACTGAATCACTAACACTTTCTACTATATTCTTTCCGCATTTTAAAACATATTCTGCTTTGAGAATTCTTTCTCCTTCTACAAAATTCCTGTGGTTCCAACCATTCGATAAATCCTTGTATCGTCACATCTTTGCTGCTGAAATTCTTTAACTGCCTGCTGCTATTAATGCAAAAATTAGATTCATTTTTTATTGCTTCTATTGTTGTCAATGAGTTTAATCATTACATATCTTTGTGGATATTTCACTAATATAACAAAAGCAATATCATTATTAAATATTTTAATATGAGAACGCTATTGATACATACAATATACAATAAACGAATTTCAAATGAAAGAGAAAGTGGATTTCGGTCGGTTTCTTGAATCATTCTGTTCAAAAGTCTCAACCTCGAGTTTTTGACTTGCCTCACTCAGCGACAATTCTGGTGCTAGTTTTCGTATTCTAGGTTGATATGTTGATACTAGTTAGAAAGAATCACTGAATTTTATTTTACCAGAGGGGCTCTAACTGACTGATCTATTTCAACATGACATCCAGGACTCCAGGGAGTCCGAATTTACTTGTGTCCATGTACCTATAGACATAGATATCTACACGTATAAAAACAGTTAGATTATTTTGGAAATTTTTAATTTTAAGTAAGTTTGACTACTCTTAAATTCAAAATTAAGAAAAAGGAAGTTACAAAACGTCTTGACTTAAAAAAACTAAAATGTAACGAAATGCGTGATAGGGTAGGTACAAGAAGAGACAAAATACTAAAGATGGCGAGAGAAACGAATGACAGGGACATTTCATTCCTTAAAACGTGTCTAGATTCTGCAGCTAAATGTATGTATATTAAGTCATAAACAAAAAAGTAGAAAACCCTGGATAACTAACGAGATTGTAGGACTAACAGAAGAAGAAATACAAGAGCAGAACAAACGACAAATGCCAAAAAAGATATAAAGCGATATAGTGGGAAATAATTAGGAAGTGTAGGATAGCTACGGAGCAGTGGATTGATATAAGGTGTAGAGAAGTACAAGAAAACTTTATAGCAGGTAAAACGAATGAGTCTTATAATAAAATTAAAAGTTTCAAAGAAGTAGGGTACAGTAATAATATAAGATACGAAACAGGAGTCATTTTGATGGAAAGTAAGGAAAAGACAAATAGGTAGAAAGAATAATTAGAAAACCTATACGCAGGCCAGCAATTAGGAAATATATTAGAGAAGGAAGATATGTGGACATACGTGAGGTAGGATACCCCATAATGAGAGAAGAGTTTAAGAGGCGTCCGTGCTCAGATCGAATTAAGTGGTTTAAGGATTAAAGTTACATACATAACTCCCTCCTTCTCATTAACAGTATCAAAAGACATCAACCTATTATACGAAAAATTGCACCAGCATCGGCATAGCTGTAATCGGTGTATCTATATGAGAGTTACAATCTCATTGCGAACTTTTCGAGAAACATCATTTACACTTTTTTCCAGTAGTAGTTGGATTAGGTAAATTTCTCAATGTTTAATTTCAATCGTCCAAACCCCATTAGTTTTCAAAAACTGCGAGAAAAAATAGGTTCCAATCGTTTATTGACTTCAGCCGTTCAAACTTTACGAATTAATATGTGTACTGTTAATAAATATTCCGTAGACTAGAATGACAAGAAGAGTATAACACGTTATGTACAAATCAGCGAAATACAGAAGGGGTCGTTCAAGTATTATGTAAACAATTTTTTTGCAATTATAAACCCCCTTTTCCCTCTCGTCAACAAAAGTAAGCAAAGCTATTACCCCCGTCCTATGCTTACGTAAACATTGTTACATGCATTTTTTAATGTGTTCTGGTTTCTTTATTGATTCATGAGCAGCAGTTATGAGTCCCTGAAAATTCGTTTTCATGCATAGACAAGTAAGAGTTGCCATATGTAGTCACACCAAAATCGACTAAATTTTGTAAAAAAATCTTAAAAAGTAAAAAAGTAAATACTATTGACATAATTACCATCCAGACCCCCTTCCCCCGTGTCATCAAAAATATGCAAAGCATAGATCCACAAACCCCTGTAGTTCTTACGTAATACTTCAATGGTCCCAGAAAGCGTTTTGGATAAAAATTAGTGATCGGTTTCTGCAATTGCTTACAACCCTTTCTACCCACGTTATCCTCATTATTCGCTAATAACACCACATTTCGAAGGCTTCTAGCCTTTTCTTTTCCGCCGCGCCCACTGTCCATGTTTCGCATCCGTACAACACCGCACTCCAAACATATACCTTTAACAATCTTTTTTGAATTTCTAAAAAAAGTGACATCTTTTTATTGAAAGCGACACGACTCTTCCCTATCCTCTGCTTTATATCCCTACTACTCCTTCCGTCCTGACTTATCTGACTTCCTAGATATCTTAAATCAGCCACTTCTTCTAATTTTTCGTCTCCTATCTTTATATTCGCTCTTTCCCTACTTTTTCTTCCCTTGCATACCAGTATTTTAGTTTTACTTTTATTTATTTTCATACAGTACTGATCTGTCAGTACCGCTTCCATTTTATTTAAAGCTATCTCTAGGTCCTCCTTGCTAGATGCTAATACTGCTATATCATCTGCAAATCTAAGCATACTAATCTTTTGCCCTTGCACATCTATCCCTACAGTTGTACTGTCTTTAATGATGTTGATGGCGTCTTCGATGTATAGATTAAAAAGTAGCGGTGACAGTGTGCATCCCTGCCTGACTCCCTTCCTAATATTTACTTCTCTACGTTGCATCCCCAGCTCTATAACTGCCTGTTGCTCTTTATACAAACTAAGTATCACTCTTCTATCTTTGTAATTCATCCCTACATTTTTAAGTATATTTAACATCTTGTCCCATTTAACATTGTCAAAAGCTTTCTCTAAATCTACAAATCCTATGTACGCACTCTTTCCTTTTTCTATCGTTTTCTCTATTGCTACCCGTAAAGCTAGAATGGCCTCCCGCGTTCCTCTATTTCTTCTAAACCTAAATTGATCTTCCCCTAATAGTTCTTCCGCTCTTTTTTCCATCCTCCTCTATACAATTGTAGTTAAGATTTTTGACGCAATGGAAGTTAAGCTAATTGTTGTAAATGTTTCACACCTATCCGCGCCCCTCTTTCAGAGATAGTAAAAATACAGAAATATTTTTTTGTAACCTTATGAATGGAAAAATTACAAAAACCTTTTATTTTGGCCAAACATAGACTTCAATCACTTTGTGATCACATCTTCAGTTGCCCAATTTAATTGTTCTTGCAAAACTGCTATTAGGCTATATACAAGTGGGGCCTACAAAAATATGTTTATTTTTATTAATTCGTGTGATATCTTTTATCATATTCAATTCGACAATTTCGTATTTACAAACAGCCAACAGATAAATACATAACCGGCAGTAAAAGTTTTAGGAATTTCTTGACCTACAACGATAAATTTCCCAAAACTTCTACATGTACTCATACTTTAAAATCCTACATCGCTTAGATATATATATATATACATATGTATTTTCGCCAAACAGAAATATTTCATGTCTTACTTTTCTTGTTGACGATAATACCAGAACAATATTTATCGTTTGAAGCGACTGGCGGGCGGCACTGTTTACTTCATAAAGTTTACGACTTAAAAATAAAGAAAAAAGACACTTACCTTTACATCGTTTTGAGATTTCTTTGCTCCAGTGAGTAAGCTCTGAAATAAAGATAAGAATTTATCGTTAGTTTATGACAGCCTGACTTAAAATAAAGAAGTTGTGATTTATATATAAAAATTTTTTGAATGTCAACAAATTTTTAGTTGGGTATATCTTCAAATAAATACCAAAACAGAACTCTACTAAACGAGAATGATATTAGACAGTTTGCGAACTTACGTGACCTAGAACGTTAACGTGAGCTTTCTACTAGGGTTTATACAAAAACCGACATTTTAGAAAACCGGTTTTCGAATAGTAATTTTTCCAGAAAACCGGTTTTAACCGGTTTCGAATTTTTATAAAAAAATTTTTTGCTCGAATATTCTGTAATTCGAACAAAAAATTTTAACAGAAAATTTAGAGTGATTAAAAGCAGTTTTTGACTGAAATTATTTACTGTTCAATTTTATTGATAGTAAAATTTTTTTATGCAATTTAGTAGAACAAAGAAATAATAGTTGACCAGGATTAAATAACTTTAAAAACAATAATTCGTTGTTTATGCATAATTTTCACATATAAGGATGTAAATATTTTTATAATAGTGAAACGAGTTATTCAGCAAAGGGTTCGAATAAATAAAAACAATATATTTTCATATTTTTATAATAACCATATTATTTTTTTAAAAAACAATGTTATTAGATACAGATGGATACTTATTAAAAACAATTAGAAAATATATAACTGTGTATTATATAATGTAAATTATAATCAAAGCCGAAAGACAAGAGTAAATAAAGTTTATGCATACATACTTATTAAAATCAATTTTAGTTTTAAAGACAATTAAGCAAAGGACCGAGTATTTTCTATTCCGGGCAATTTTAATACAAATTTAAATATTCTATTTGTTTTTTTGTTTAATGAAATATGATTTCAGAAAACAGAGGACGTCTATCGATTTGCTATTTAGCCGTGTCCTTAGTTTATTCACAAAATTCCCCGAAATAGAAAATACCCTCTCACTTGCGACCGAACTAGGCTTAATCGTTTTTAAAGGCTGATATAATAATTCTAAATTTTTTGTTCTTTTATTTGTGGCTTCCAGGGCCAAAAACTCTTTTCTTAGAGGTTGAGTAGAGGAAGTCACTTCTTCCTGTTCCTTTAAATAAAAACTATCAAACTGATATAAAATCTAAATTAATTTATCCAATAGACAAAACACCGTTTACATTGGTCCGATATGACTCCAAGAACCGAACCGCTTGCAAGAGTGTTTTTATCAGTCTGGTACATTTGGCTACATTTGTCATTTTCAAATTTTTTTTTAAGTGTTATTCATACATTGAAAACCGATATTTTCTATTAAAAAACCGGTTTTCGAATTTCATAATTTTCTCCAAAAAACCGGTTTTTAAAAACCGACAAACCCTACTTTCAAGGGACTTAGATTTGACGTCGCTATCGTAAAAAGGTCGCTATAACCCAGAGCCGCTCAAACTCGGCTCTTTTGCATCCCGAGTGCTCCTCAAGGTTAACCAAGTAGATCCTCATTGATCCTGCGAGTGCAAGTGAAATGATTCTTTCTTTTTCTTATCCCTTCCATTTCGTAGGTGAGTCCCCTCTTCCATAGTCAAACCCAATAGTTTTGCGAACGTAGTAACGAAAATTTTGGTAGATATTATTTAAGTTGCGAGAGTGGCTTCGCTCGTCTACGGGATGAAGGGGCTTGATATGGGAGTGTAAGGGAGAAGAAAAAGACAAAACAAAATTATTTATTACTGCTTACTCTCTCGTACTTATAGAAGGGTATGGAGTGACTCAAACTAACCTCATGTAGCGGATCCTGCGAAGTTAAAGTTTGCCCGGCTCTGCTATAACCAAGGTCGTAATAAATGAAATCCACTGTACATCAATACCACATGTCCTCTAACCGCGTCACAAAACGTGTTAGAATGGCGCAATAGATAATAAAACATCATTACAATAGGAAATATGAAGGTCTATTTGATACACACCTAATCTATAAGAGTTATTGAAAAAATTCCTAAAATTAATTTCATTGTTTCAACAATAAGCGAGAACATTATGACAATGTTTGATAGTTCAAAAAAGCCGCTAATTGTAAATACAACAACGATAAGAATCTCACAAATTGAGTTTTTTCTTAATTGTAACATTCGAAAACATATTTACGTTATATTTTAACAATTTCTTATAAATCACGGTTATTAAAAGCATTTAAGTATTACTCCACTTCTTGCATATTTTTACTTTATTCATATTTTAAGAAACTAATACTGTAGAAATTGATTCCATGTCTTTCCCCCTTTCTAAAATGAATATAAATCAGAGTTAAACTAGGGCTGTAAATATTTTTATCGTTGCAAAACCAACACCGACGAAATCGTCTTTATTTAGTTATTTCAAGGCTACAAAAGTTGCAATAAAATGACGTTTTAATATGACCAATTAGGTTTATCGAAAGTCCAGCAAGTAACGCCATATCATTATCATAGAGGCATTAATTAAACACCACGAATAAAACTAAAATAAAGAAAAATACAGTTAAAAGTCACGTAGTAACAGTAACAGTAGTTTGACGTCTTTAACATTTAAACATAAAAATTTAATGAATTGCGGTCGAATTTTGACCACTAGGCGACCACTACTTTCAATAGTTACTCCCTAATAAACCTAGACTACCAGCGGATTGTTTGGTCGACCTGAAAACTCTTCAATATCTGCACACGATTACGTATGCCAAAAACAACCAGAAGCCATTCATAAGGATGTGTGTAATAACAATGATAACCAGACTTATCCAGAACCTACATTCTGGAATGGAATCTTTCTAGAACATCTAGTCCTTACAAATAATTACCGCCAGATTCTACTTACGTGACGACAGAAGCCGAAATAAAAAGGCGGAAAAAGAGATTCAGTGGGCGATACAGCAGACAGCCTGTAATTGATTATTCATAGTGGTGCCGTTTGAAGATTAATTACAAAATAAATTAGAGTGCGAAAGGTATTTTATTACGCGACGTTATTTATACTGTGCAAAATGCTCATTTAAATAAAATAATTTTGCTGAAACTCGAATTTAAGTTCAATGGAGTAATACGAGGGTGGATTGATAAGTTTCCGGCCTAACCAAGAGATGACATACCACATGTCCTCTAACCGCGTCACAAAACGTGTTAGAATGGCGCAATAGATAATAAAACATCACTACAATAGGAAATATGAAGGTCTATTTGATACACACCTAATCTATAAGAGTTATTGAAAAAATTCCTAAAATTAATTTCATTGTTTCAACAATAAGCGAGAACATTATGACAATGTTTGATAGTTCAAAAAAGCCGCTAATTGTAAATACAACAACGATAAGAATCTCACAAATTGAGTTTTTTCTTAATTGTAACATTCGAAAACATATTTACGTTATATTTTAACAATTTCTTATAAATCACGGTTATTAAAAGCATTTAAGTATTACTCCACTTCTTGCATATTTTTACTTTATTCATATTTTAAGAAACTAATACTGTAGAAATTGATTCCATGTCTTTCCCCCTTTCTAAAATGAATATAAATCAGAGTTAAACTAGGGCTGTAAATATTTTTATCGTTGCAAAACCAACACCGACGAAATCGTCTTTATTTAGTTATTTCAAGGCTACAAAAGTTGCAATAAAATGACGTTTTAATATGACCAATTAGGTTTATCGAAAGTCCAGCAAGTAACGCCATATCATTATCATAGAGGCATTAATTAAACACCACGAATAAAACTAAAATAAAGAAAAATACAGTTAAAAGTCACGTAGTAACAGTAACAGTAGTTTGACGTCTTTAACATTTAAACATAAAAATTTAATGAATTGCGGTCGAATTTTGACCACTAGGCGACCACTACTTTCAATAGTTACTCCCTAATACGAGGGTGGATTGATAAGTTTCCGGCCTAACCAAGAGATGACGCCACTAGGCCTACCTTGAGGTGACATTCTATAGTACCATCCTTGGATAGCTTGTAGCTATAGTTTCAGCCCGATCTCCTTGCTAGTGTAGGTTTGACAGCACGCTGAACAAGACGCCTCTGTGGTTTTCGTAAAAATGGAAAAGCAGGAAAATCGTGCTGTCATCAAATACTTTTATTTGAAGGGGTTAACGCCGAAGGAAATTAAAAAAGAGATGGACTCAACACTGGGGACATCCTCCCCGTCATATTCAACCGTTAAGCAGTGGGTTTCCGAGTTTAAAAAGGGTCGTGTGAGCACCTCTGATGGGCCTCGCTCAGGACGCCCCGTTGAGGTCACAACTCCAGATATGATCGAAAAAATTCATCAAATAGTGCTGGGAGACCGCAGATTGAAAGTGCGTGAGATAGCTGAGACCTGTAAGATGTCATATGAACGTGTGCAACATATTTTGCACCAACATTTGCATATGGAAAAGCTCTGTGCAAGATGGGTGCCGCGTTTGCTAACAGTCGACCAAAAATTGATTCGAAAAAACATTTCTACCGCAAATTTGTCATTGTATAAGCGTAATCCAAGCGAATTTTTGCGTCGATTCGTAACCGTTGACGAAACGTGGGTCCACCACTACACTCCTGAAACCAAAGAACAGTCTAAACAGTGGATTGGACCAGGGGAACCAACTCCAAAGAAGGCAAAAACAATTTTTTCGGCGAACAAGGTTATGGCTACTGTTTTTTGGGATGCAAGAGGTATTATATACATTGATTACCTTGCAAAGGGTAATACTATCACTGGTCAATACTACGCAGACTTATTGCAACGTTTGAGCCACGAGGTGAAAATTAAACGACCTCATCTGGCGAAGAAAAAAATCTTGTTTCATCACGATAACGCACCAGCGCACACGTCAATCGTTGCGACGGCTAAAATCAACGATCTAAAGTTTGAATTGATGCCGCACCCTCCTTACTCTCCAGACCTAGCCCCGAGTGACTATTTTCTGTTCCCTAATCTCAAAAAATGGCTTGGCGGTAAGAGATTTGCGGACAATGAAGAAGTAA